TACGGGAGTAAGGAAGAAAAGTAGAAAGGCGCGTTCGATACGTGTGGCGGATTTAAAAAAAGCTGCGGCGTAGGAAGGAAGGAAGGGGCTTGCATGCACATTACACTCAAGAGTGTGGATGCATCTCTTGCAAGTTGCGCAAGACTTTTCACTTGCTTCATCTGCAGACTCTCCGGAGCCGGCTAGCCCGAAGCGGTAGAAACGGTGGAGAGAGAGCACGCGGGCCCTTTTGAGGAAACTGAAAGGATTAATTTACCGATTGCCTCGAGCGGTTCTTATGCAGCGTGTGTGTGGAAAGTATATCGATCGAGTAACATTTTTCGGATTCGCCTGCTCGGAAGTTTATAATTTCGGTAATGGTAGAGCCTTCACGCCGAGGAGTTGTATTAAAAATATACTTTACTTTCATATCCAGTGCTTGAATTCGTTTCACTGCAGATCTCTCAAAATATCTAGACTCTGAATTTCACTTTTAGTTTATTTGGTTGGTGAGCGAAGAAGTAAGTTGAGTAATCACACTTTTCAAAAAATAATAAAAATAAAAAAACCATTTCAACAGAACGTTGCATGTTATACCCTACTGCCTGAAATCCTACTTCTTTTACTATTTCGATGGAATTCAGACAATTTTTATACTCGACATGAAATGACGTAATTCGAAGCTGAGGCAAAAAGCGATGACACGCACTCACTACTATTAACAGCCATTCGAGCTATTCTGAGAGTTTACCTCTAAAAGCGGGACCGCGAGTACAAAAGAACATAATATTAAATATAGAGAAATGAGTACAACTTTGAACTCGGACATGTACTTTGTTTTTGTACTTTGAAACGTACGTAACACTCGAGTTAAAATGACTTAAAATCACATTCTAAAATTTTGAAAAAAGAGCATCGAATTTAGGAAAATTTATCAACAACCAAACGTTCTTTGACCACACAAAAGAAATAGAATTATGTGATACGGTTGATATTTTAGTCGAATTTTTACGAAATTGATAAATAAGTCATCAGTACTCGTCCGAAAGTAATATTGCAAGCACTAAAGTAACTTTTCTCTCGGTAGATATGCATGTGAATAGAATAATTGCAGAGTAAAATGTTCGGTTTAATTAATCATCAAGCTAACATCATAATCATACTCTCTCATACGCGTATCCATACACGTGGTATCAAGATACCGGAATCTGCTTCGTTTGGGGAAGATGAGACTTGGATAAAAGTGTCCCGATAAGGCGAAGCAAAACAGCAGGCTACAACATTTTCTAACGAGGCTATGCACATATACATGAAGTAGCGCCTGGTGGCTCTTTTGAGCGCTTTGTCTTTTGAAACAGGAAGTCGACGTGAATAAGAACGTCTTACTTGATTCTGTAATTTTAGAAACATGCGGGTTTCTTTTGATGATGCTTCGGTGCTTAATTTTTAATTTTTTCTTCCTTTTTCTTTTATGGAAGAACTACGTAAGCTGGTGAGAAGGAGAAGGGGTAAATTTTATGGGTGACATTATGACGCTTGAAAATTAATGTTTGGTGTAATTTACCAGAGTTATTAATTCAAAAATATACATGTACTCAAGTTCAAAATTTGTCTCGAAAACGTATACTAGAGTAACAGATTGTAAAAAAAACTTATAATCATCAGTAAGCATCTTTCCAAACAATTCTATAGTTTACAAAAGTTTGAACGAGAAATAAAAAAAGTTTCACGATTACTAGCTTCCATTACCTTCTAATAAGTAAGTAAATGCCAATAGAGCTCTAACGTGTGACAATGTCTAATATTAATCTTGGTACAGCTCGGAACTTTGTTAAAAATATTTTTGCAGTCATAGTCTTCTTTATCCTGGTGTTAAAAAAGGAATTTAGCATTGCATGTGAGATTAATAGCACAAACGATACTTTAATCAAATTCATCATCATATTTGCCAAAGTTTAACCATTAATTTCCACTAATGAGCAATTGTGAACAATTTTCATCATAACAACCACGATAGCTACTAATTTCATGTCTGAGCAGCTATAAGCCACCTTCAAATCAAGAATCGAAGATGCAATAATCAAAACTTCAAAAACCAATATACTTAGTGGAAAGCTTCACCTTTCTCTGCAGCCTATGCCGCACACAATGAGACTCCCTGTGATTGTCTTATTTTCCTCGAAGGTCCGCCAAAACGAGTCCTCCCGTTCATTCGCGCCTTTCACTCGGCCGCGCTCATTAAAAGCAAAAAAGTGAAAAAGAGAATAAAATGGAGAAAAAAAAAAATGTGTCATTGATGCCACACTTTCAGCACAACAGAGGGAGAGAGAACGAGGAAGATCGAGATGCTATACCTACTTCCAAAAGTCGAGATCGAGGGAGGTCCCCCGATCGCGTGTGCGCGTAGCTTGCGCCGCTCCCTCGCGCATATCCATGAATAATCCAACGCAGCCACCGCAGAAGTTGCAGGCCGCTCTTATCGTCTCTCCGATCGGCACACACAAACTTATATTATATATATATTTGTATATACACACGAGCTCGCGCGCGAGCCCGGAATATTAATGGCCAGCGCACTCTTTGCTCGTCACGGGCGTGTGTGGTAGCTGTTGCTCTCGTTTGCACATTTTTTTCCGCTTTTCTGTGTCTCCTCCACCTCTTCCGTACACGTCTTACACCGACGCTGACACAACATTGCGCCGTGCGAAACTTAATACCTCTTATCACTTGGACGAGTGACGAATGTACCTACACAGGGTGTCGGACTGTACTTCGCGTATATTTATGAGCTTGCAAGTGGAGTCTCGGTTTTTATTCCATCCCTAATACCGGGATGGATTATTTTATCTTCAAAGTATACAGAGTAACGGTATGATACATGAGCAGAAGAGTAACAAAAACGTGATATTTTTTCGCTTAAATTGTATGGATGATTTTTTGACCACTTTCAGATATCGAATCACGCTGAAATTTTGCACGTCCCCAACAACTCAATACTGGGTATTTAATTTTATACAAAATGACAGAGTACCTTTTTTTTTTTTTTACTATTTTCTCGACATGGGTAACAAAAGAAAGAGTACAAGTAAAACTATACAGTAAGCTGTGCCTAAAATAACATATCGCTTTTGCTTTTTCACAACTTTCTTATGCCATCATCCTAAATATTACCATTACCACAAAATAAGGTATTAACCATAAAATCACTGCTCTCTTGAATCGGTATTAAATAAAAGGATTGAATCAGTAAAACATGTTAATGTCGTAATAATAGAATATTGTTACGACAAAGTTGAAAGATTTGAAAAAGAATGTAAAGCAAAGATTTATCATGGGCGAATGATACATAAAAATAACAAAAAATTTACCGAACAATCTTTTAATTGTTCAATAATTTCATTCCAAATTTTTCATAATGTGGTTGTATGACTTAAAAACTATGGAGCTTAAGTTGAATAAAAAAAGTTACAAACATCCAATAAAATCAACATAAGCTTTAAATTTTAAAGGAAAAAATCGTTTTTTACTTTTATAGTCACAAAACAAAAGCTTGTTTGAATTTTTTCTCTCTTCTATTATTCTAAATACGCTCACGTTATGCGCGTACAGCTTAACAGCGAGTTGTAAATATAGATCGGTTGTATATATAGAGTATGTGTACGTGCCTCGAACGGAATCATCAGATTATTTAATTATTAACGGAGCGAGCGAGGAATGCGCTCGAGTGTGCCGGCGTAAAACGTATCGGTGTTTGATGAAAGGGCGTCGAAAGATTTATCGGACGATGATTCACGCACAGCCACCGCCTCGCGCTTTTTCTTCGGATCACACCGCTGGTCCACTTTATCGATGAATTTTCAGTGCCTTTCCTGTAAATTGCAACACGATCAATGTTTTCAAACTTCGAGTGTCGAGTAGCGCTAATATTCACTGGCTCGGCGTACTTATACTTTGTCGAAACAGAAATTAAGTTAGGATCGAGTTTGAGGATCCGATTAAGGACTAGAAATTTTCCCAACTAAATATCCGACAGGAAAGTAACTTTGGTGCTGCCAGTTTGTGTGCTGTATTTTCCGGCTTGATGGGTCACAAAATGCAATTACGCTCTTGCGCGTAAGTGCACATATAAATTAAAATTGGGCGCCAAGCGTTTCGTCGATGAATACATAGTTTCTCGTCTGAAGATTGCACTGAGTATACATTTTTGAGATTTTATCTTAGGTCAAACCCTCACAAGTCACGAAAATCAAAACATACGGCATCTAAATGACAACAGAGCCGTTTTGACTGACGAGATTGTGTCGCCAAAATTTGCGATGATTCAACATCTCGAGAGAGATAATTTAATTTGATACGATCCAGTGTTCCCACACCTATCGTGTTCACGATTCGTTACGTAAAAACGTGCGGATTAAATTCGTCAATTTTTCACGGACGAGGGCATCTCCCGGTGCTCGATACCATTAGCACGACGTCGGCAATAAAACCGAGGGAGATAACGAAATTTTTTTTTTTTTCGCCCACTTCCAGCTGAAATCTTATCAGGAGCACATTGTGTCTCGTAGCGCTACGGCCAACAAAGCCCGACACGGTGCGAAAACTTTGTGCTTTAACCATCTCGTTTCCCGTGAAAAAAGAAAAAAACTTGGACGAAAGTCCCTGCATCAGTACCGTTATAAATAATTATCGGTAGCATCGGTTTTAGGGCAAGTTATTGTACATGGGATATTGTTCGTGTGACAGGCAACGGAGCCACCTGAAAAAGACGCGGAGAAGAACAATCGAGTGCGGGGATCGGGAAGCGAGGCCAAGAGACGCTCCGTGCGCTATACATCGGTAGGGACGAGCCGCTGACGGCCGGCCACAGCCTCGCTCGTGTATCGCTAGTTCAGTTCAGCGCGAACCGGCATCGAGGAAGCACGCGCCTTCGCTCGCTTTTGTACACTTTTCAGTGACATACGTGAAAACAAAAATTTTCGACCAATCTTTTCTGTAAATTCTACAATATACATAAAAAACAAAAAAAAAAAAAAAAAAAAAAAAAACAACAATTTTCCCTCGCTCGATTTATTATTCGATCGACGGGACACCTGTTTTTTTCATAATTGGCAGTTTCGTCCCCTTTCCTTTTAATTGGACCAGCGGTTGTTTGCGGCGGAATTGAAATTCCACCGGGTGCCAGTCTGCTTGTTTCGAAGGAAAAATGCAAGGGGCCCAATTTTAGCGGTGATTGAGCTGTGCTTTCTTTCATCATGCTGGCGTATTGGGTCCTGCCGGTGCTGCTGGTGCTCACGACCACCGCAGGTAATTAATGCTTGCGCGCGTATACCGATATTCTTTTTTTATATCATGTCGCTTGTTCGTTCTCGTTTGTCAAAGGGTCTTCACTTTCATGCGGTGAAATTTGATGTATTTCATGACGGCGAGTGCTATTTTTAATTCGTTTGCAAATTATGAATCATTGAGTCAAAATTATACTCTTGCCTCATGCGATACGTTTTCGCGGCATTGCATCATTCGATGGTTGTCGTCTTTTGATAAGAAGTTACTTTTTTCTTTTTTTTTTTTTTTTTTTCACACGTTCCACGAGCTTCTGCGAATTTCGAGAAAAAATACGAAACACCGATGTCGTAAGGATTCTTTGATTGTGCGAAATAATAAAAAAGATCCAACGATAAATTAAACTACTATAGTATATAGAGATTACGTCCACTCTGAAAATGAGCGAAGCCCGAATGATGCGTCCAATCGAATAAATTAGAATACTTTGCTAGTCATCGAAAAATAAAAGAGCAACGCTGCGAGCCGAGCACGCGTGGAGATAAAATTTTAATCCGCCGAGACACTAAGTCTACTGTGTACACACTCGAAGTATGCACATGGGTATAAACGTTATATACCGATGCTCTAAAACATGTGCAAACTATGCGCTATAGGGACCCGAGTGTGCACTCATAGGAGGGCAGGGGGGGAAAGGATCGGCGCAAGTACGAAGACCTCGAGAGAGAGAGAGCGTGTACAGAGTTCGATTCGTCGACGACTACGCGAAGACACACGCCGAGTTGGCACTATACTATTTTAAGCATTTCGGCGTGTATAACCGCGAGTCTGGGCTGCTGCCTGCGCGTGCAACGATTTCTCGCCTGCACTGCACGAGAGAAAAACCCCACAACGATTTCCTTTCCCCCGCGTACAACATAATAAGCGAAATTGCATTGTCCCGAGCACGCCGCCGAGCTGTGCAGTTGGGTAGTTTTTCAAAGCCACCCTCCTCTATTTCTCTTCGATCGCCTCGGCTCGACGCGCCTACGATTGACGGCTCCAAAACTTTAGGTCCGTACACGCGCGGGCGACCATAAATCGCGCGCTTAATCCCCGTGACGAGCGAATGGGCGTATATAGGTATAGTCACTGTATACCTATACGCACCGCGGAGAAACGCGAATGGGGGGAGAAAGCGTTTTCGGGAAGAATTGTTTGTTATTCCGCTCCGCGGGGCGTTAGCCTTGCGCGGAATATTGGATTCCCTGTAATGACGAACGCGCCTGGCGGGGGAGGGTAATTGTGGCGGGTCGAAATGCCGATTCTTGCCAGTTATTTAACTGTGATTTGATACTCAAAAGTTGATTGGCTGCAACTTCACTGTTTTTTTATTTGACAAATTAGTTGCTTCAACTTTTAAAAATTGATTGCGACAGGAAATCACAGTTGATTGGTCGCGTTTTTGCTGGAATTGCGAATTTTGCGATCATTTGTTGGTTGCGCCAATCAAATTTTTTTTTTGCGAGTTTTCAGTTTTATAAAGCCGAAGGGGTCTAAGTCCAAACATGTAAGTGGAAGAGTTCATTGAGCCGCGTGAGAGCGCACGAAACTAAGAATTAACAAGAGCGGAATTTGCGATTGCGGCAACGATACGACAACCATTGCATTTTTGTAAAACAATAACACATATTTATTTACATAATCAACTTATTTTGTCATTTTTTAAAAGAATTTTCGAGGTACAATGTAGGGGTAGAAAAATCCAAAGTGGAGCAGTAAAATTCAAAGATTATTGATTGGACCATGTAGAAAATAACATTTTTTCCTGTTTTTGTTAAATCAATGAACTTTTTCATACTTTGCAATGTATCTCCTCTCTGCATATCTGTTTCGTTGTTGGGTAATTAACTCGACGTCAGTTCACAAACGGGGTTATCTTATTTTTGAATTTTAATGCGCTACTTACAAAACTTGTACAACGCTTTCTTAAAGTTCAAGCACCTTCTTTAAAATCAAAACAAGTTAAATTTACGTTGAAAACTCACACTGGTATACTCGTACATTTATAAGATTAAGGTAGATAATTCGTAATCATATGCAAACTCAAAGTTGAATATTTAAACATGGGCTTGCATAATATCAGCGATTGTGGTAAAAAAGCAAAAAATCAATATACTTTAGCCACTTTTATACTTTGTTTCAAAGAAAACTATTGGCCATACAAAGATACATTTTATCAATGTAATCAGAGTTCATCGCCCGCTTGCAATCATCGCAAGGCCTCTCGGGAATAAGTATCAAAAATGATTCGACGCACGTACAGCAGCACGAAATACCGGTGTACCGCTTAGACGAAAGACATTGAAATCCAAGCGGGCCCTCGCGCTCCCGAGGAATGAATGGCCGGGACTATAAATACGATATAGCAACAGTACATACGTACACCCGAGCGCCGATTCGAGAGGAGAGCAGATGCGATTTCTCCGAGAGGGTATTCGACCCCCGATGGCCACGCGCTCCATTTTCAAACGAATCCGCGCCCGATCTCCCCACGAGGGGGATTTCCCCGCACCGCGCACGGTTTTCATCGAGTGAAATCCGATAAACCACCGCCGGCACGTGCACACATCACCTATCCATACGGCCGGGAGCTTTCGTGAAATCCTTTGTTATACGTACGGATCGATCGTCAATGTGAAATAACGATTGAAAGTTATAATAATTTGGAGTTGATCAGTGCGAGGCAAAGAGAAACAATTGTCTCGCGTGTGTCACTTATCGCACTGGGGAAAAACCGCCAACCGAGCGAGCCGTATCTCGTACGTACATCACTGTAAAAACGCTCGCAAAACCCCAAAAGTGTATACACATCTCCGGGCTGTGTCGTGTGCCGCGGGCGCGTTTATAAATAGTCATATACGCGAGACCGGTAAACGAGAGAGGAAAAATCGCCTCGATCGAAACGAGGAGGTGTGCGCGCGGGAGTCGCAGCCGCGATTTATCGAGCCGTGCTCTCTAAAATAGTTTTCCGTTTTGCACGGTAAGAGAAGAAGAGAGGCCAGACCCCATGCGCCGACTTCCTTTGATTCGACGATTAAAACATCTCTCCCGTTCTGTACATGCTGCATACATCCTGTGTTTGCACATCCGTACACACGATATTACCACTCTCTCTCCCCCTATTTTTGAGATAAAACTCGATACGCAATTACGGATTAATTGCTATTACACACCCTGGAATCGTTGATCGCGATGGTAATTGCCAACTATGCGGCGACTTATTACGTAATTTGTATGAACACCTAAAAGAGATCCGTACGCGCCTCAGACGACTATGATAGAAAAATCCAGATAATCCCAAAGTGGATATGAAAAACGAGCATTGAAGTGTGCGGCTGGAACAGCACGAAAATCATTCACGCTCGCACGGATACGTGCATCGGACAGACCATCCATCTGCTGCGCGAGTGGCGAGGGGAAAGCGCGTTGTGTCAAATTGGCATATGGGGAATAGCAAAATGACGAGACGCTCGACGAAAATAGTTACAAGCGCCTGTGTATGTACCGTATGCAACACAAGTGCGAGAGTTGTAACGCGGCAGGATACGCATGGGAAGATGAGCGCGCAGGAAATGGCAAAATCCGTCGATTGATGAGCCCATGGGCGTGTGTGACGGGTTAACGAGAGCTCGCGAGTGATTTGCTCCACATTTCATCGAGGCTCGAGAGTGACGCCGGGACATTGCTTTTTTTTTTGAAAAAGGCACGCACTAATTTGGGACTCCTCAGCTGTTTTTTTTATTTTATTTTATTTTATTTTATTTATTTTTTATTTCAAGGGCCAACTGTTATTTTCACGAGATGTAATAAGGATCCTTGATTATTATCCATGGGCGATGTAACTATGTGCAAGCACTATAGAGTTAGATAAATCATCGAGACTCGCGTGATAAAAGCTTTTGATGACTCATCTCACCGAGTATGGGTATCTAACTGTAATCATAGATAACGCGACTACGCAATCATAACAATATTCCATACTTCGTGTACCATCGGAATAACAGGAATTAAAATGACAAGTGCGAAAATACTCGAAGAAAAAAAAAAAAAAAAAAAAAACTGTTATAATACGTATAGTCGATGGTAAAGACACACGGCGAGGTGCTCGAGAGCGCCTTTAGAAATTGTCACGTTTATTCTTGTCAATTGGTATACAACACGGCGGCGTTGACTCGAGTACAAATTTATATGCACAGTCAAGATAAATGTGGCGCTTATGTAATGTTTGTTCAAATAATAAGAATACAAGTCACACTCTACATATACACGTCACGACTCTTTTCTCGATTTTTTGCTCATATACACCTGTATAGGTATACCAACAACCGCGGCTATTAACATCCCCGCGATGCAGCATATGCTGCTGTATATACATTATATACCCAGGCGTTAGAAAAATAAACCAACGCAGAGCTGATCGAGTCGGAGTCACATGGACGATGTTATGACTGCCTGAAACTATGTAACCTTGTGTCCACGCGAAGATGATCCAATCGCTCCAAGTTTAGGATGCTCGACGCATCGCGGGAGTTGGAAAAAAAAAATGCTCGATGAATCTTATATGAAAATTTCTCACGAGAGCATTCGAATCGATCGATCTGTTTCTTCCGAGAAACCCAACAGCATCGCGGGTCGAAAGGTTCGATTGATTATTCCGATGCGACGTCTGCTGCTTAGCATACGCGATATTATGCTCGGTTGGTGTAATTTTTACCGCGTGCCTGGGTAGGCATATAATATACGTAACATGAAAATTTAATGAATCGTCATTACAATAATAGCATTGAAAGTGAGGCATGGCTCGCTGCGGAGGTAATTTTAGAACGCAAATACGAGCTACGGTGTGTACAGGGGTATACTTGTGTCTTTTGATGAGGAAATTTTCTCGGGCGAAAGTTTTCACGTGGATGTGTCATTATTTTGCCACATGTGTTTGCAATCGATTAGCGTTACATTGTACAAGTGTTTTTTTATTTTTATGAAAACTATCCTAAACACGACATATTTCGAGTCGGAGTAATGTTTACTGATCGAGGGGATTAAGTGCTTGGGGCCGTATCTATTTGGGGCTCGTAAGAGAGAGAATCTTTGTTTACTGATCGCGCGTATGTATTTTTGGCTCGATGTCACGCGCTGATAACATCAGCTATGGATGAGGGAAAAATTAGTTTGATTTTCCCCGTATCTGAAAATACAAGCGCAAGAGTCGCAAAAAAAAAAACAGCGTTTGTGCCTCCAAACCGCTTAATTTTCTCCTCATTGTAATTGAAGATCGGTATATGATAGAGTTAGCCGAAACAAGAAAAGAAAATTACTCTGATGGTAATCCGTTTCACAACGAGAGAGTCTTATTACCAAGACTCCAGATAAGTCCCTGTTTGTTGATCCGTGAATTTGCGACACAAAGTTGTTGTTTCGGTATATTTTGACTGTAGCGACGTTCAATTCGCAGTTGACCTGTTAATCGCAATACATATTTTGCCTTTACACGATCCCAGTAAATACATGTATATGTATTTTACAGAATATGTTTAACAATATGTGTTTGAACATTTGTCCAAAGTAGGTATGATCCTTGATTTTTCTGTGTTCAAAACATACCTAATCATTGATTTTACAAGTAGCAATTTTAGATGAGGTGCTTTAATTTTAATTATTTGCATGGCTACACTGACAGACATTCATCATTTTATGTTCCTGGTTTTGCATGTAATATCATAATCATTATGTATGTTTATTAGACATTAATGATTATGTTTAAAAATAAAGACAATCAGGGAAAAGATACACTTTAGGTAAACATTAAAACGTATATTGTTGAGCGTTTTTTTAAAAATTATTTACGTACAGAAATCGCGCGATGGCGAAATATCTCGTGATTAACGGGTCAATTGCGACGTGGTGTAAGCCGTAAGCGAATTGAACGTCACTGTAGTCAAAATATACCGAAACAACAAATTTTTGTCGCAAATTCACGGATCAACAAACAGAGACTTGTCTGGAGTTTTCGTAGTAAGACTCAGTAATTTTCCTCCCTCGAATCGGCTAACTCTATCATGCCGATTTTTTCGTCTACGCACTGTACTATTTTTTCGGCAATTTCTCAAAGAAATCAGATGTTAGTAAATGATGACTGTCGCCATGTTAACCAGCACTAAAGAAGTAATTTGTAGTTGTTACTATTTTTTAAGTAAGGATATCTTCTCTTAGCGACACTCGAAAGCTTCAAACTACAACCATGTAAAATTTCATAAAGATCTGTCAAAAAGTCAGTTACCCTTGTTCCCCATTAAGCAGCTGTAGGTTGACGATTCCGAAAAAAAAAAGTAAAACCATCCGAACGAATTATCCAAAGTAACTCACTTTACAGCTCTTAATGCGTGACAGCTAAATTATAATGTATACGTATATGAAGAAACGTACGCAACTCTCCACTCTCGCAAGGGGAAATAAACTAATGATTTCGCTCCACATGAAACGCTGACGCATCGCATCTTTGGATATGCACGATAAATCTTACACACTCTCTCTCTCTCTTTTGCGCTTGAAAATTCTAAGTGGATGCAAAATGCCAGAGCGCATCGTAGTCTTCAATGTCTCGCTATCGGTGTAAATAATAGCATCGCTGGCCTCGCGTGTAAACGTGCGAGGTGGCAAAGCCCGTAACAGTATGCAAAGTATATCAAACAGAGACAGAGAGGAAGGGAACTTAAGCGCATATTTAGTACGTGCAGGCGGCCATGAATCATTGGGTGTTGGTGCGCGAGTGATTGATAGGTCAGTGCACCGAGTTTGGCATTACGTTATATTGTTACGTCTCGAGTTGCCGATATTTTTTCCTTATAAAATGTATATCATGCGTCACGGTCTGTTTTGATGGAGCGTCAAGGGAGACTAATAGCATACGTATGTTTAAGTGTCACGCATTGCACGTCCCCACAATATGAAGGAGTTTTAAACAAATTTATCCTTTGACATTTATTTTTTTAACCGTTTGGAGTCGCACACAGGTACACAGCAAATGAGCTATTTAGGGATAAAAAAACAAGTAGAAAAATATAAGAAGTGTATACAAATAAAAATCGAAAGAAAAAAAACACATAGGCAATGAATAAAAGCCATTAGGAGAAGCAAAAGAATACTAGAAGACAGTAGGACGCAAATATAAAAAAAAAATTTTTTAAATCTGCAAGAAAGATAAACAATAACTTGTAGGTATAAGTAGTAAGGGTTGAGATGTAGGATTTTTATATTTTATTAAATTTGAAGAAAGTCGCACAAATATTAAGAATTTTTTTCATTTTACAAGTTTCAGTATATAATAGAATAAATATACGAGACAAGACAGTGGGACAAATCCCTACAAGTCTATCAATAAGTATACATGCAAGTGCGTAAGAAAGATGAATGATTGTGTGTCGATGGGGTACTCTACACCGGTGTGTCAGGTTTTTTCGACACGCGGTCTTTTTTACTGCTCAAACAAGCAAATTTAAAAGCTAGAACGGGATTCAAAGAGACACTTGAACAGTAGTGACGTAATATGAGTTTAAAAGTCAGCAAACACTATAAAATAATGCTGTAGCTACTTGTACAGAAAATTTTTCAATACGCACTTTGTTATGACAAAACAAGCATGAATTGTACGTGGTGCTGTGAGAGAACTACATTTCATATACAGTTGACCTTAGCAACAGTGGTGGATGATTTAAATTCGTATTTGCGCGTATTGAAACTGATTCACAAAATGTAGGTGACACGATATTTGCCAAACTCATCAGGATTGTCGGATAGTGTTGGCTTAACGGTGGACTGTTATTTGAAGCTCGTGTTTGAAAATGGATTTTAAAATTAACTAACATCGGAGTAATGGATTAGCGAGTTAAAATGTATAGATTGTGTGTGCACGTACTTATTCTTCATCGCCATGAATATAATGTAAATGAAAAATTTGTGTGAACGCAGGTTACAGTGACATGACGTATTTTAGCATTGGTTAAAGAAAGGATGAGAAAACCGACCCACAATTAACAATTTTTAGTTACTCTTTAAATCTTATGATGCAATAAAAACACGTTTTATATACAGATGCATCGGAACACTAATTCCTAAAACTCTCTCTCTCTGTGATTTCTCGTACAGGTATCAGAGCAAGTCCAGCCGAGCCGCGAAGTTTCAACGCCGATACGTCCCTCCAGCAGCAAGTACCGGAGGACGGGACAGCCGACGTGCCGCGCCGTTTCGCATGTCCGACCGGTTTCTTCAGGCTACGCCGAAACTGCTACTACCTGAGCGCTGGTACCGCGGCATGGAGGGAAGCCTACTTCCAGTGCACGGCGCGAAACGCCACCCTGGCCGTCCTCAACCGCAATGGCAAGGACAGGATACTGCGCAACTATCTCATGGGCGATCAGTTTAGTAAGTTTTTTTTTTTTTTTTTTTTTTTTTTTTCGGTTATTGGGTGATTTGTTTGCGCGATCGAGCTTTTGATTGCACCAGAAATATGTACATTTCATCTTAAGTTTTGAAACATTGTTCGATGACTCATGCATCAAGATTATCTCGTAAATGATGCGTGTCATCGATATGGAATCTGAGTACGCTTTTTCGAAAAATTATCATCACGTGTGTAAGATAATCGATTGTAAATAATGATTCAATTTGCGGATAAAAAAAAGGTGCATTCGATGCATATCGGTATCAAGTGTGGAATGATGCAACATCAGTCGATTGCGGTGAGATATCGAAAAAGAAAAATGTATTTATCAGACGAAAAAGGTATCGCGAAAATCACAAAAATCGTCGACGGGACAAAAGTACCTTATATATATATATATACACAATAACAAACTCTGGCGCAGGACGCCTGGAGAGATGGATCGGGGGTATCTACAACTGGCGTCAAATGGACTGGGAGTGGGGCGAGTCGGGCAACAAGGTGCAGTTCCAGAACTTTGCCGACTCGAGCTCCATGGTGTCGGAGAACAACGTGTACCACTGCCTCGTGCTCGACCCGGACCAGGACTACAAGTGGAACCCCAGGCGATGCATCGAGCAAAAGTACTACATTTGCGAGGCCTCGCCTGGACGCATCGCTACAAGTAAGGATGACGCTCCAAATACGCGCCCTCGACGGACAGTACACATCGACTTTGTTTGCCTTGCAAAATGGCAATATTTGCGCGCGATTGTAATGGCAAACATGAACTCGACGACCCCCTTTTTCAATACGCAACAGTGCTAATCAAAGAGGTTTTTCAATACGTACTCTCGCAGACGTGTTTACTTACTGTCTAGCACCTATACGTTTCCACGACGCGACAATAACTTAAAATCCTCGGAAGAGCGAGAACCACGTTGGGACTGTGGTTGTGCAATTGGAATAGTCATTTTTTTTTCTCTCCCTTTGTCTCTCTACACCCGATGCTTTGGCAAACGAGTTTTCTTCGACGCGACACAGTTTGCCGCGGTAAACTTTTTTCGCAACCGATTCGTTGGATTTAGTTCTTCCTTACTCTTGTTTCATCCGTTATCCGGGGGAAAGCCAATGGTTACGAAATCCACTGGCCGAGCAGGCACAGTTGCACAAGACTCGCTACACAATGGTATTGTGCACTCGAAAGAGAAGATGCGAGGGAAATTAAAAATGGACCAAAGAACCGTGAAATTGCGCGTTGAATGCGGCTCTACCTACGTATTATACTTGTGTATGAAATAATGCGCCGATAACGATCTCCCCGATTTACATAACGCGGAGCATTATTATACGGTCCGTAGTTGAGGCTGCCATGCACGATCGCGTCTCGGCATCTTTTATTGCCGAGATCGAGCGCCGGTGGGGCATTTTTCTCTCCGCATCTCAATGAAAAAAAAAAAAAAAAATTCACACGGGTCCGTTTAATTACAGGTAGGCGTCGCAAGAACATAACCGATCCCTTGGCGCCGCAGAACCAGCGGCTGAGGCCACCTTCGAGGCGGGACGAGTACAAGCACCTCCACCACAACCATAACCCGCACGGCCAGGGCGAGGCGATCCAGAGGAAGCAGCGCAACGGCACTGCCGCGAACAACCCGAGCGGCAAGCTCAAGTCGATGCGGAAAAAGAATTGGCACCACCATCGGTCGCACGACGACAATCAGATTTGGGCCCACGGCATTAAGTTTGGCTCGAGGCCTCCCAACGGGTGAGAGCCAGCTGCTTCTTCTTCCTGCGCGAGGCTAAAAGGGCTTTTTTAATAGATCGATTCTCGGAAGCGTAAATTTAATCGCCCGGCACTCGCCTTTCGGCGCTCGCTATTGGTTATAACACTCTTACTCGTGATCGGCATTTAGCGCGCGCTTTTTTTTTTCACGCCTCCACGCGCGCGCGTGTGTTGGTACATTTTTTTTTTTTTTTTTTTTTTTTTTTTCCAGAGGACAGTTTTGGTGCGATGGTTGATTGATGGTGACGAGTCGGGCTGTTTGAATTTTAATGAGCTGCTTTTTTTCTTTTTTACTGCGATGAGAACTTTTTTGTCACAGCCGGTGAGTTTTTACATTTGGGGAACATCATTCCCACGGACCATTACATGAAATAGAATTTCTTTTTTTTAACTGCCATCGTCATCGCCCGACAAATTAATTTATCCACAATATAATGAGGTGCGCACTTTTTTGTGCATCAAAATTGACAATAATATCGTTATTGGGGAAGAAAAAGTTACCAATACAGTCCGAGCTGGATACGAAGCAAAAACGAATGAAATTTGAATGTGCTTGGGTGATTAATTCCAGAGAAATAACGAAATTGAAATTTTACCCTTTTGTGACCATAAACTGCGACAACATCCTCTAAAAGTAAATGAATAAAAAGTCGCAGGGCGTAAATTTTTCTCGCGCAACGATAAAAGAGAAACGGTAACTTTTCAAATCCATCGAGGTCCCAGCGACGCATAATCATTAATGACGCGGTAAGGTGGTCGGTGGCCAAACCCAACAATTACCATTAAAACGTATAACAACGGGCGTACTCGGCAAAATCATCAAAACAAAGCAATCTAAAAGTCAGTATCCCATTGCATATAACACACACACATACACACACACACACACATATATATATATATACACGCGATGGCAACGAGCCATCATCATCCTTGGGCACACATGGTCGGACGTACGCAAAACATCCCAGCGTTAGCCCAGTTTCCCACGAGCGCAAAATTGTCTAAGCAAACAAAAGCCCCCCTTCCTCCCCTGACTCAACTCTCTGATGTTATTCCAGATCGCGGCGTCTAAAGTCACCGAGCAAAGACAAGAAAGAAAGGGGCAATGGACGCAAGCACAATCCGCACCACAGCAACAGCATCCTCGAGCCGGTAGCCGCACCGGTGTCCCAAGTCTCCCCGAGCCCGGGCAGTTTGGACGCTTTCCCGGCCGACGGGCGCATCCTCACGGACGAGCGGCTCCAGAGCCTAGATGAGCGCGCCTACTCGCCGCTCTTCGGCAAGGACTACGTGCGCGAGGAGGTCCTCCTGAAAGTCTGAGCTTCGCGTCCCCCCGCGCCTCCTTTGATTGGCAAACAAACGACAAGAGATTAAATCATATGTATGTATACATACCTACCGTTGCACCGCACGGGAGATCAAAGGAAGGAGAGAGAGAGAGAGAGCTCGCGACGTGTGCGGTCGGCCGTGCTACGTGTGGGCCTTGATTATTATTTCCTTGGTGGGCCAAAAGTGTGTACTGGGGAGCCCGATTGTACTTTCGGTCGGAACGAACATGCGGAAACCATTTTACCGAAATATCAAGTTCCACTAGTCGACTTCGTTTGACCGGATGACTCGTTTAATATTTCAAGTGCAAAACTGTGTGCCGATTCGGGGATTTCTAATTTATACTTACTTGCGCTGTATCCGGATCCCACGGTATGAAATTGGTGCAGTTTTCACGTGTAAATGAAAAACCGAGCGCTTTTGTAATCTAAATAATCAATGCGATACCACCATCGACCTAAGTATCAAAATTAGCTTTTAACGGTAGAAACCAATTAATATCGACTGGACTTGTTTCGTTCGACCCTTGATTCGAACGAAACAACGCAAGCAAGCGAGTTTAATAAAAATATAGGCATTACAAGACGTATCGAGTTGTACTCCGTTACATTGCGTTATTTTATTTTTGCATACGTACTTTTGAATCGTATCTCATTAAGTATTACATAATATTTATTTACAATCGGAATAGCGTGTAAGAAGACCAGTGGCTTGTTTGATTCGCTTAGAATTTTTATTTTTTATTTTTTTTTTTTACTGTAATATAGGCGAGAAAATTACAATATTAATACAAAAGTTACTTGTATTTTTGTAGAAATGAAAAAAGAACAAAGGAACCGTAGCATTAATCATGTAAACTATAATTTTGTTGATAATGAGCGAAACTGACCCTGACATATACGCTCTTCATCACGCAACACCAAAGACCATGAGTTTGATGTCACATTTTTTTTCCCATTCCTTATGTTAACACAATTTTATTGCTTTTTCACAAGCGCGGAATCTCCTGTACCACTACGTAATAAATATCGTTTTTAAATATGTAAAAAAAATAAAAAAAACAATTTAACTTCTACTCGTTTACAAGCACATTTTTTTAAAACCAAGTTACTTACAGCAATAACAATTATAACAGTTATTTTACGCGATTTTTTTTTACTACAATGCTTGTAAATAATCTTAATTTTAATAACCTATTGTATCTACATCATAGAACGAAATGAAATGTATGTCAGTATCCTAAGTTCTAATCCAATGAAGTACATAATTACAATACGTAAATTTTAGTTATTCAAAAAATATGATGTTTATGATGATGAAACTTACCCTGTACTTTTTATTTAATGCTGCTTTAATCTCAGGTTAGGCTCAAATATTTGGGTATCTACAAATAAAGAAATACACAATGAGATGTTACTTAAATGAAACTGTATACTAGATGTCGTTGAAAAGTAACAAAAAACGTTTTCTAACATTAATTATTTAGAGAATTTTTTTTTCTTTACATATCAATTGTTATGATGCATCTTAATGATTTCACAAAACCATCATGTATACTACTAAAACTGTAGAAACATAAAAGACAATCCAAAGAAGATCATAACGTTTACTTTTTATTTTTATTCAATAAAAAATAAATTTTACCCACCATATTCTATTCGAATCAAATTGGCGATTTATTTTTCTTGAAATAGATGGATTTAAAATTTTTAATGTTAAAAATATTTCAAAAAATTTCTTCAACATTATTATAGCATCGTTTAAAATAGATCTCAACTATAGGTAACAAGAAAACACTAAAGTGCTTCTGCAACTGATGACTGGGAATGCAAATTTTTATTTGTATCGGCATCGTCACCTGTTGTACTTTTTATATTTTCCGCTGCAGTTTTACTTTCAGTTCCGTCCTGTCCATCCAAATAATCATCCCACTTTTTCATTCTTGCTTCGATTTGTTCCTCTGTCTCTTTAATTCTAAAAATAAAACATGCGTATTTCAGTATTCATTGATAAATGTAGCGAAATTCTACAAACAGTTTTGAGTCAAAAGATGTATTTAACTGAGACATCAAAGCAAACTTTGATGCATAGCATCATAGACTTACTTATATTTAGTCCGGCCATCCCATATTTCAGCAGTTATTTTCCTCTGACCGAACCATCGGCCGTTTAACAGCTCTATGCAAGCTTGAGCTTCCTCGATTTCTTTGAACGTCACTTGTGCAACGCCTTCGGGATTTCGCTGAAATTGGGAAAACAAATTACGATCTTTAAACAATTCGAAAACAAGTCGACAAGATAACAAATAGAACCGATATAAGTTCCACTACTTACATCATAAAGAGTGACTTTTTTTACTTCACCACATTTCACGCATTCAGATCTGATGTCTTGGGTGAATTCTAAAATCAACTTTGGATCTTTATCAAAGTCTTCGGGTTGAAAGAGATTCTTTAAAATGACTACACGTTCGCATTTGAGAGGCTCTCCCAACATCTTATCAGGCCGCCAGTCCAAGAGCCTGCAAAAGATGAGCATTGTTTGAAAAATAATTGTAACAAAACATAATACGATACAAAATAACTTACTTATCGTGGATTTTCTTCTGCTTATCTTTGTCCTTGTTTTTTCGTTTTGGCTTTTTTGATGGATCATACTCCCCTTTCAACTGGAATTTAGCTCTTTGTACACTAAGAGTCTTTCCTCTGATGTTCCAGCCATCTAAAATATCAAGAGCCAACTCGACTGATTCAAGCTAAGAAAAAACAAACATTAGATTCATAAGTGTAACTCCAACTATAAATTGATTTGTAACGGTAATAAATGGATTATACATACTTTAATATATGTACAACGAGCATCTCCCTTCAGATCTCCACTTTCATCAGCATATAACTTGAGCTTATCAACACCTTTCTCATCACGTGCAAGCAGTCCACATTTACAAACCAACTCTTTTAGTTCATCCATGGTTATGTCAAGAGGCAAATTAGAAATGTAAACTGTCAGATTATGTTTTTCATCTACATCAAACCATGTTGGAGCTTCTTTTGCTTTCCTTTTGTTTTCCGCCTTTCTCTCTTCTTTAGTTAATTTCGGTTTTTGGGGAGGCTTTGGTGGATCTTCGGAAGGTAAACTTGGTTCATTCGTAGAACTGGTACTGTTTGAGCCAGTGAAACCATAATTCATTTGATACCTTGCCATAAAGTCATCATCAAGCTACAAACGTAATAGGGAGTGTTTAATAAGTAAATTTACTTATAAACATGAGATAGAAAAAATGTATATAATACTACTCACCTTAGGGAACCACGCATTTTTCTCTTTATCCCAAAAGTATGATGTGCCATCAGCTGGATCAGTGTAAGTATGAGTATCATTTTCAAATCCATAAACGCCTTGAGCTGTTGTCTGCTGATCAGCTTTATCCTTCATCACCACAGCACTTCCAGTTTCTACCTCATCATCATTTTTTACAACCCATTCATTCTTTTCCTGTATAAACTTATACGTAACCTTGGTATTTTTATCAGTGTATACATAATGTTTACCATCAAATTCATAATCTTTCATAGGATTCGACGTATCGCTATTTTCTTCTTTAGGACCTATTTGCCAAAAAATAATCTCGTTGATTCCCAAAAATTTCAGCAAACATTCATTAGAATAAAAATGAGCCAGTTAAAAAAGTGACCAAGTACTTACACCACTTGTTTTCTGCACTATTCCAAACTAATTTCCTGCCAGTGCCTGGCTCAGTGTATACACATTGGCCACCCTCATAACTAATATTATTAGTGTAACTGTGCTGCTCTTTAGCATTCGTTTCCTCTTCCTCATCAGTATCAAATTCCTCAATGTCGTCATCATCACGCTTTTTGTAATTTACTTTTGGAATTTCTTTAACAAGTGGCTTTGGTGGCACGTAAGGAATCGTTAAAGTGGACTGTTCCAGAACTTTTGGTTCATCAATTTTATTTTCTTGTTTATGAGCACCTTCACCATCAACACTCTCATCCCTTGAGCTTACATCTTGGTTTAGCTCATTACTATCACAGTCATTTGATTTGATGCTTTGACCATCCTTTGGGACTGTCGGTGCACTTTCACTTTTTTTTATATCAATTTCTTGTTCACTCATTTTTTCGATGCGAATACTCAACAAAATTGTGTTCTGAAAACTTAGGTTAACTACACATTTTAGGAATTCACTTAAAAAAATCACTGAAAAACTTCATGGTAACAACTTTGTTGATTAGCCTTCGCATTATACAATAGTTTAACTTGCACATCAAATATTTCAGTACTAAAGTAGCAGTTTATTTAATTCTTAATTCACAATTGTACGATTAAAAATGAAAAAATTTTCTCTGATCTCTGATGGCAATCAGATTATCAGATACCCGACCAAGTGACCAACGGATCTTAAGATATACGTCATGCTTTTATTGCTCGATTGATTGGTTTCATGATTTTATATCATTTTTTGTTCATCGTTGTAATTATTTATTACCTGAGTACCGATTTTTTCGATATTTTCAGTTATTAAAGTTCTTTGATAAAAAGGTACTGACTAGGTACATGAATAAGAGTAAAAATTACAAAGATATCCGCATCAACTAAGCAAAGCCATATGGTCGATTTTATTAAATCATGTAAGTAGAATATCTACACTTTTGGAGGTAAATTTTCTGATTAAAGATAGATTGTAAACTTGCCGCAAACAGCACAAAAAATGTCAACTTATTACTGTCTATCTATCAAATTAGTTGCGGCTGGTTTATAATTAATTATAAGGCTTTACTGGAAGTATATAGTAATAATTATTTGGATCAGCGCCATCTAGCGTCGCGGATTTTTGAAGTAAAAAGTGGCCCTAAACTTTTCAACCAGAGCTTTAGCGCTTAGAGCTACTTAGTCTATTATAAACCAGCCGCAAACTTATTTTGAGGCTATAAAATGAAAAAATAATCATACGTGTGTTTTTGGCGGCAA